CCCCCCCCCCCCCCCCCTCTCTCCCCCTTCTCTCCTTTCGGGTTAGGATTGTTGAACGATCTGAAAAACTCGAGCTTGAGTTGATTTTCACTCATTCAAGTTGCAGAATGAATCAAAACAAGATCCAAAAAACTCCAGCCCGACTTGATTGTGACTCATTCAAGTTGCTAAATGAAGTTTGCAATGTTATCTAAATACCATGGGCCACCCCGTGCAGTACACGAAATTTGCAATGAGCCCCCACCGTCACCCCCCTAATCCCACCCCCACCACCCCCTTATGAGAAAAATAATTACTAATGTACTAAATTGATAGTTCAAAAAACTTGGAATTAAAGTAACTAACAAACAGAAAAAATTTCAAATACAAAATAATTATCCAAAAGTTGGCCCACGTAGAAGAATTCAATTAGAAAGGGCCAATACATTACTATTAAATAATTTAAAATTAAGAAAAAATAGAATTTAGAGAGAGAATTTCTCAAACACTCCCCTAAATTGATTCTTATATATATATATATATATATATATAGAGAGAGAGAGAGAGAGATTCCAAATTATAAAGGACCAGACAGATTGGCAATCCCATACAAATAGAACTTACTTTTAAGCAAGCATCAATGAAAAGAGGAACAAAACCATGTGCCAAAAAAAAACATGTGCCTTCTGAGACAGAGGAAAGCTGAATTGAAGTTTTTGTCACTCACACAAAGCTCAATAATATTTGGAACACAAGACAGACAACTTCCCAAGTCCAAATGACAAAGTAGAACATCACAATAGCAATTAGTCTATAAAGAGGCTGAAATACTCTTCATGTGCGTACGTAATCGCACATTTATTTCCACCCAACAGCCACATTTAATTCCCCACAATAACCTAATCTTTTCCAACATAGTTTTTTAAAACTTCCACCTCATAAACCTTGAAGGCAGAACATGGAAAACTGCCATCATAACAATATCTAACTTTAACATACAACTGCAAGAAACTGCAGAACATGGCGAGTAAGGCAACCACTAAAGATTCCTCTTCTGACAGATACCTTTTGTCAGTCAAGTAGAATTGCTAGTACTTTTGTGACTCTGTCTAACTCCATCCAGCTTCATATATTTGCCCATGGTACACCTCCAGAATCTCCGTATGGTTTACTTCCAATCCATCCAACCAAACAGGGTATTTGACCTCAGAGAATTCTCATTTCCTGCAATGTCGATTCATCCAGTGTCGGCACAAGCTGTTTACTTGACAAGGAAACTCAATTAGAACAATAATGAACATGAATGCCCTGATATTAAAGTAGAAGTGTCAGAGAGCAGCCTAAAACAACCGTTACTCACACCTGTCACTACATAAAATTGCCATACTCGGCAAAGTTGATTATATTAAAAAAAATGTGCATAACGCTCAAAATTTAGAAAATATAAATAATGGGATGTACCATTCCTGAAATTCAAGCAGAATAATCAATCCCTGCACAAAAGTTGTCACCGACTCGCTGAAACAATAATAATTAGACCTCCCTAAGCCATAGGCGTGTAATTAAACCACCAATGATAAATCATACGGTTTGCCTACACATTTTTCAAGATTCCGAGGATGCCAACATTACAAATGCATGAACTATTGTAACAAACAGTTGAACAACTGCTATCCTTCATAATTTTATTTTTTTTTTAAAATAAAACCAAAAAGCATATTGTAACAAAACAACCAAAAGCAATTAAAAACCAGATAAAATTATACACCCCAATCTCCCAAAAACACCAACAAAACCCTCACAAGGGAACATAGCCTTCCCCGAAACCAGTAAAAAGGGAAAATATTTGGAATGAACAAGAAGATCAACCCACATCCTCATTAGTGATCACTTAACATCAAATCATATCACAAAAACAGCACCAAGGAGGCTCAACCCATGTACATATGCATATACAAGTAACAAAAAGGAGCTAAATACAGAAATCAACAGCTAAATAGAAAAGACATCTGCAGCTTAATGTTTTTGGCCTTGCATCCTATCGGAAAAGGATTGAAACATAGGCACAAAGTAACCTGTTACTTCTGTAAACACATAACTCGTTACTCAAGTTACTACATAACAGGATCACTATCCTCTTTCATAGTTGCATCTTTTTTCAAGGTTTGGCCACTAATTTAAACCACTGGAACAACCGAGTGACGACTAATAAATTAGATAATTTAGCATCCCATACACACACACACAAAGATGGGCAAAATTGATTAGATATAAAGCGAGAAAGACCTGTTCAACTGCAAGTGCCTGCAACACTGCAAGACCATCCATGCTCGAACAAAAACTTAATAACATTGGCCACACTCCAAATACGATGGTTGAACTGGTTGCACCAGGCCATCAGACGCTCGCCACAGTGAATTCTTCAAAACCTTAATGCAAGATGTAACACCACAACTTAGTAAGAAAAGCAGTGACAAGTCTTGCGACAAACATGAGTCACCTATGTACGAGACATAGTTGTAACAACTCGAAAACAGAGAAAAAGTTTATATCAAACTAAACAGAGGAGCAAGGAAAATCTATGGCTTACCATCTATCAGCCATAATCATCTCACACAAAGAAACGGCCTTCCCAGTGAGACTGCCCTTGATAGTGCTGTGGCAGCGCAGCAGACTGCTGATTACCTTTCTGAACTTGCTGCTGCCGCTCCAGGTACAGTTTCAGGTCCTCAGAAAACTGATAAGGCTGCAGGTCTCTCTGGTTTTCTGTTTGTACTTGCAATGCCGAAATTTGTTTCCCAGGGAAGGGAAAGCTTACCATCCCCATCGAGCTATTGCTTTTGCTCACAGGGTGGTATGTCTCCACTGAGTGATTAATGGGATTGTTATATCCAACACTTTGAGTAGATGATGGCAACTGATATCCATCTAGCCAGCTATAATCATCCATTTGTGGATTTTCATTCTTCAAAGTTATACCAGACAATAATTCATCCACGACTTTGGGAGGAGTAGAGCCAAACCCAGGTGGGGGACCAAAGTGTCTAACAGGTCGACTCACAGGATTTTTCTTTAAGCCTGCTGAAATAGCAGGCAAAGGCTTGAAAGACAAGCTATCCACACCAGCTCCTGAACTAACAACTGAATCAAACTTTGATGACACAACAGTTTCTGGCGCCAGAAGAGATTGACCATTGCTAGCAGCGACATTGGCAGACCGAGGAAAGGGAACACAAAAAGAAGCAGGCGGGAAAACTCCTATATGACCTTGCAACTCAGGTTTCAAAGGAAGGCCATTCTCCAAGAAATGTAAATTGCCCAATCCATTCACAATGGAACCTTCTTGTTCTATCCGCCACTTTGAAGTAGTGGGCTGGATTGGTTGCAAAGACTGGGCTGTGACATTAGAGACAGGCGCAGGTGGCCACACATCTGTATTAAAAGGATCCTGCACAAGGAAACCTTCATTTGAGTTGGAGAAGGTTCCAACTTCATTTCCCAGATCAACTTTGGAAGCACTAACACCAGATGCAAGAGATTCAGATGAAGTCATATTTGAAGCGATCCCATTACTACCATGCTTTTCATTCAAAGATGGCTTGAAAACAATCACCTCATCCTCTTCTTCACCTTCTAGATACAACTCAGCCTTTGGCTTCAAGATCCCCAGTCTCATTTGATTCTCAACTGGATTCTCTGGCATAACACCATCTAATATGGGAGTTTCCAACGAGCTGGTGAACAAATAATCATCAGAAATCTGAGGCTCAATACCAATCACAAATCTCTTCGACTTTGTATCAAAATGAATTCCTTGTTGACCAGTGTGCACTACATTAACAAGAGCCTTTCCAGCTGCTATAATCCTCTGAATACGGGCTTTTTTCTCCTTATTGCCACCGTCACTCCCCAAAGAATGCTTTCTTGAAAAATCAAGAATGAGTTGGGCAGGGAGCAGAGGAAGAAATCCCCGCAATTCAACGTCCTCGGGTAATGCAAGCCGATTGGCAGTCTCACCTTCATCATAACTGCTCATATTGAAAAAACATGTTTCATCTCCATCCTCATCAACAGCCATGAACCCACTCAACAGGAGCTTGTTGAAAAACAAAATGCAATGGTTCCAAAAGAATGATCTAGCACTAGATTGTTTCTCCTCCAGCTCCCGGCCAAGTGCAATGTCTTGACGACAGGCCAACCACTCAACAAAAACCATAATGCCAGGTAATAGATAGCTTTCTGAAGGATCATTCAACTGGATGCATCTCTCAATCACATGCCCCATAAGCTCAAAAATAGTAGTAAATGCATTCTGAAGCAGAACTGTGCGTTGCAAAATTTCAGCATATGACTGATTTTCAGTTTCTCTATTCACATTGTGAATGGTGAATATGAGGATTGCTATCAGCCTAACAATCACCAGTCCACACTCAGCAGTGTCAGAACCTAAATTGTACTCCTCTTCTGGCCCAGAAGAAAGAAGCTCAAGCAAATCACTTTTAACCAAAGAGAAAACTTCCCCAAATGTCTCCAAGCTGGTAAAAGGTAGAAAATACAAAGTGTCAATACATTATTGAGATGTGGCTGCAATATTTTAACAGAAGTCATTGTTGCGGGGTTATACCTTGTTCGTGTGAACAGGATGCCATTTAGTCGGACAAAACAAATGTTGAAGGCTTTAAAAATTTCAGGTATACCAGATGTTTTTTCCTTGACAAGACTTGCTTCTACTCCATTATCTTTTGCAGGAAGCCTTGTTTCACCTTTCCCTCGTCCTTTCCCAGTCATCTTCACAGGTGCCTTCTTAGCAGAGGAAGCTTTGACATCACCAAGTAGCTGCGAGTAACTCTGACGATTCTGCCAAAAAAGTCACATTGTAATCAATTTCGTTCACAATCTCATGCACATAGTTCAATCAAAACCACCTACTTCATGTGTTGCTTTTTCTCATGTTTATCAATCATAGTTACATGAAAAATCTGATTCTGCAGATCTATATTCCACAGTCTATATTTATCGAATGCTTTTCACCTCAGCTAAGGGCTTATCCTATCTTCTTTTTCCACACCCGGAAAAAAAAAAAAATTCTGCCTGCAATATATCCTATATACCTTTTCAATGGCTTCCTTGAAACAAACCCACAATGAACTAATTCATCTTTGTCCGAATTGAACACAGCAGGATATAAGGCAAATCATTTCTACTCAGGTACACTTAAAAAAGACCCCTCTACTACAGACACCAACCCTGCACATAACTTGCTGTAATTCGTGCATCATAACAGCTTAACTTATAATTTTCAAGTGTTAAATTGAATCCTGATGCAGTTTCAGAATAAGTTAAATATAAGAGCCCGACCATGGATAAATGCTGAATAGCAAAATCATATGGTCAGCCGACTCAGGTGACCAAGCTTAAATAATTATCAGCTGGCTCACTTCAAATTTCACTCTGGAAAAAACCACAAGACAGTTAACTTTCCCCTCTACCACATAGATATCCCAAGTCAAAACAACACCTCGTTGGTAGCACAACCACCGTGAAGGCAAAAATAGCAATTAGGTGCACATATCAGCCACTTTAGAGGTGATAGCAGATTTTCAAGGGAGGTGATCACACCTGTGGAAAAATGACAACAAAAGGCTTGACGTGAACTTAAAAAACATCTAGATCCTTGACAAGGTGACTGTTAGGCAATCTCCAATGTTGTCTCAAGCTCACTTAGATTTAAGTAAAAAGCTTGATTTGGTATAAACTACTCCGATGGATAAACCCAAATTTACACTCAAACATTTTAAATTTTTTTGATATTGTCCTAATAGCTCATTTTAAACGCTTCTCCTTCTTTCCCTCCAACATCTCTTTTCATTTTAATTATCCCTTCACTCTCAAATCTCCTTCTCCCTCTTTTTTTTTTTCACATTAAACGAATATCATATTCAATTTTTCTGTCATGTTACTTTTTATCTTTTTTTAAAAGTTAAAAAAATACATAATACTTGACTGTTAAGTTCTAAAATAACAAAATTCAATCTAAACTTAACAAATTATATTGCTGGTGAATGATTTGAGTTTATCAAAGTTAAGTTTTTTGAACTCATCAATGAGTTTAAAAATAAATTGAAAAATAAGAAAGATAAAAATAGAGTAGAGAGATACATAAAAGAGGGTGAAATATGATTGTTAGGTCTTTAAAAGAGAGTGAAATATGGCCACCGAAGATATAAGTGTCCTTCATTTGCTATGAGTTTGAGTAAAGGAAGGACTGTAGCTTTTTTTTTTTTTACGTGTTTTTACTCAACTTTAAATTTAGGGAGAATTACACCCAGACCTCCTAAGGTCTATTATTTAATCACTCAGACCCCCTAACATTTGAACGCACGTAACACTTAGACCCCTGTTGTAAATATATCCGTTAATAAATTACACCTAGACCTCCTTAAAGTTTGTACATATATAATACTTAGACTTCTTAAATTAAAAATATTATACTTAGACAAAAAATACTTCAATCAAAGATAGAATATCAAATATTTTAAATTTTACAACCAAAATTTATATTCTATTGTATCATTTATTAAAATAAAATCAAAAATAAAAATTCAATTTTTTCTTAAAAAATTGTAATTAGTATACAATTATACTATCTATTTGAATAAAACTAAAAAATCAAACAAGGGGTTTAAGTCATTCTTAATAGAATATTAATTTTACAACCAAAATGCATGTTCTATTATGTCATTTATTTAAATAAAATCAAAAATAAAAATCTATTTTTTTTAAAAAAAACATAGTTAATATACAATTAAAATATCTAATAAAACTAAAAAATTAAACAAGGGATCAAATTGTAATTAACACAATATCTTTTACCTTCAATTAAGATAGTTTGATATTGTAATTTAATCGTTTAAACGACCAAATTAAATTCCAATAGACAATATAATTGTATACTAATTACGATTTTTTTTAAAAAAATTGAATTTGAATTTTTTATTTTATTTCAATAAATGATTCAATAGAACATGAATTTTAATTGTAAATTTTAAAATATTTAATATTCTATCTTTGATTTAAGTATTTTTGGTCTACATATAACATTTTAAATTTAAGAAGTCTAAATAATATATGATTACAAACTTCAGGGAATCTGAATGTAATTTATTAATGGATATATTTACAACAGGGGTCTAAGTGTTACGCGCGTACAAACTTTAAGAGGTCTGAGTGTAATAGTTCAAATGTCAGGGGGTCTGAATAAGTAAGTGACAGGGGGTGTGAGTGTAATTCTCCCTTAAATTTAAATCAAGATTTGAGTAAGGGTTGGAAATGCAAAGACTTCCAACTCAAAACCAACCAACAATAAATGGAATGTCCCTAAACCTAGAAACCAAACTTGGGGTCTCTAATTCTTATTCTCCACTTTCTACACGGCCTGTTCTCGCCCAAACTCAGCTGAACAGACAGAAAAACATATTTTGTAAGGGAGTCCACCGACCACCTAAGGCCAAATCATTAAATATTATATCAGAGGCATTCAACTCCAAATCAGTTGGTATATATTGTTGAATGGCCACTCAGCAGTATAGGCCAACGTTACGTGGCCCTAACTTTTCTCTTCATATTGACTGACTTGCCACCAGTCATTAATGGACTTCAATCTTTCACTATTCAGCGCTCGCCTGTGTACCATGTACACGGATATGGGTATGGAATTTCACCAAACTCATAATCAGGTCAGGGAAATAAGTAAGCATACCTGCTTATACTCCCCAGATCTGACTTAAAAGAGTATTTAATGCAGGTCAAGTCATTCTGCTATGCAATTGTGCAAACTACTGGAGTTGATATTGGATTAACGTAAAATGAAAACAGTTAACATGTCAAAATCCATTCTTCAAGCAGTAATATACTATAGAACCCTAGCTTTCCCAAGGGAACCAAGCAGCCAACTCAACCACTTGGTTCACAAGTAATTACATACCAAAAGATCAAATTTCCAAAGTTCACATTCACATTATATGTAATCAATGCATCTAACACATCTATTTTTCACTGTGAAGATTATATTTACAGACTAAAAATTAACTCCGAAAATTTTTACTCGAGAAAGCAAAAGGCAAAGGAGATTCTCCCCACAAAAAAATGTTGTCATGTTTACCTTCTCAAATGCAATGATCAAGTTGTCCCTTGCAGTAGTAAAAGGATTATCAACTGCCAGGCTTCGAAAATATCGGTAGACTGCTACCAGTTCATCCCCTGAATAAGATGCCAGTATTGCAAGCTGAATTTACATAGAGGATAAGTCCACAACAGAGATATATCGCAATTAACAGCAAAAGAAATTGGAGCGAACAGTAAGTGAAAACCATAATATAAATGCACCACAAGAAAACACCTGATGATGAGGGTTGCCACTGGAAGGCCAAAGTGAAGATGCTTGCATATAATAACTGGATGCTGCAGCAAAATCCCGGGTTTTGGAATCACCTTCCCCATATATGCCTTTATAACGGGCAAGATCCCCAAGGTAAATCAAACAGCGGTGACAGGAAATCAAACCTTTCTTCACGTCAGCAGATTTATTTCCATCTTTAGATAATGCAATATAACTCTCTGGACTATCTGCAACATACCCAAGTGGTAGACTATACTTTGCCCTAATTTTCACCATCAAATCATGATAAAATCCAGTTGCCTCGGATAGAAATGTCTTAAACTGGGAACGCAGTTTTGTGACTCGATCAGGCCCTTGTCGCGTGGGACCTTTCCCATTCTGCGCAGATGATCCTGCTGATGATAGAGCAGCATTGAAGTGTGCACGTAGCTCCTCGATTCTTTTATAATGCAACTGCCACAAAGCATATTCTATTTCATTTTGTTCAGAGAAAGCATGATCCTCTAGAAGGATAGCTTCATAATTTTCTCGCATCTGTTGCCATGCATTGGGATCTGAGGGAATTCTAGCTTGTGCCGCTTTCCGACGCCTATTCTCCAACTCAACATTCTATAATGAAAGAAGACTGTCAGACAGTAGGTCTTGAAACAGTGAGAGAATGATAATACTTTGACTTCTAATTTCTTTTTCAAATGAGCACTCCTATAGCACAATTTACCTTGTTCTAAAATCTAAGCCTAGAAGCACGTAATTTTAACTCCCACTTGTACAAAACAGGCCAAGATTATTATACACATGGGAGTACACGTATTGGGCTCATACATATTGCTCAATAACAAAAAAGTGTACCTTGTTCTCAACATCCATTTATTTGAATAGAGAAAATTAATAGGGTAAATCAAAGGCATACCTTGTTGTAAAGTCGTTGAACACGTTCCCTCAGCAATTGATCCGAACTATTACTCATCGGAATAATCATTATCCATCAAACAAGTTCGAGAAAATTGAACTCCAACAGATGCAACTCCAGTCGTAACATAAAACATTTAATCTAGGAGAAAAATTAACACAACAAGGCAACTAAATCAGATGACAAACACTAAAATGAACCTAAGACACAACATATGGACACACATGCACACAAGCAGACAAATAAATATACAAGATTGCGGTCTACTTAAATAACATTACTAAACGGCATGTATCCAACAGAAATACAAGAATCATCTACCATGTCATGATTAACACTTTGAATTGTTTAACCATTTCTTAGTAAAAACTATTGAAACCCGGGGTTCCCCTCATAAAGACAATATTCTGCAACAGACAGGTTACTCTGTTGCTATTGGAAACAACAATGCATTGAACATTGACCATTCTTGGAAAAGGAGCAGCAGACCATGCTTAGTCACAAAAATTACAGCATGTAGTGAATCCATATCCCTTCTCCTATTAGAACAATCAGCGAAGGCAAAAGTATCGATTAAAATTCCATAAAAAATGCCCCAATCAACTAAATTAATATGGCAATCACTAATAGCCACCTTCAAAGCAAAATGCCTTGCGCAATCATGTACCGTGGTATCTAGGTTTAGAAATAGCATATCCACCTCCTTCAGTACTTACAGCACTAATATATTTAAGATTGGAAGGGATGCAGTGACTTAAAGAATCCTCTTGTGCCATTTATCTTGTGTGATGCTTCACATAATTTTAGAGTGAACATTAATATTTTCATATAGCCTATTATTTCAATGTTAAAATCTAAACTCTGAGTTTGTCACCAACCAGAGTACCCCAGCAAATAAAGTAAAATACAAGGACATATAAAACAGGAACAATTGGTTCAATCAGCAGGTCATATTGCAAATGTTTTACACAAGACTTATTTAAAACTAAGGTTTACTTTGGGGAGATAACTTGGGAGAGACAATTCAAAAAACCAATCTAAACCAACATTAGCGTGTCATAGCTACCTTCATCTCCCCTAATTGCACTGAACATTCATTCCCACATTCCTCAGGTAAAACCACATAGGGTCAGAACTCAGAAATTTAAGAGATAGAATACAAAGTCAACCATTTTACATAGATAATTTGCATACTACTTACAAGAACTCAAGTCAATACTATTACTGCTTACCATTGACCTCCTACCATTTAGCCCCTTAACTAAACTTCCCACTTCTAACCAATCGCACAAAAATTAGCTGATTGAAACCAATAGATTCCAACAAAATTGCAAGCAACCACATTAGAGTCTGAACACAACCCTAAAATTGCTTATGCTCAAAATTTCAGCCATCAGAATCAGTCAGCTTCATAACACAATTCTAACAATTATGCGAGCACACACAAGGTTACCTATCGTAGGTTGATTTGATACTAGTATGCACACACGACACAATACTTTCTTTGATATACGGTGCAATATAGATAGACTTAGTTGGGGTACACTATTCTGGGTTGTGGTTCTCTTTGGAACCCTTATCTGGAAAATTAAATTGCTTTCACTATACATAAAGCTATATATAATTATAAATCCATATACAGATAATCAATTAATATCTATTTAATATTTGTGACCAGAACTTCAAAACAAATTGTAATTCATGACAATATATCAACTAATAGCTATAATAATGTATAAACCCTAATCACAACAAATCAAATAAAAGTTTAAAGAACAGCAAAATTAAGACAAAAAGTACCAGTTAGGGTTGCAATTTGAGATTAGAGTTTCAATTTAGAGTTCCTTATATTTGGACAATCTACATGAGAAACTCACCCATTTTTGGGGTCAGGAGTCCCATATCCAATATCCCTGAACATATACACGCACATACCTTCCTCTCCCCCCCCCCCTCTTTCCCTTTTCTCTTTCTTTGTGAGTGACTGAGGTTATGAATCCCCTCTCTTTCGAGGTTTGTTTGTGTTGTTTAAGGGTGGATTTTCTTTTTCAATTGTGTAGACTCAAAACTCTTCTGTTTTCAAGAAGTAGGAACGGCACTCAAAACCCATTCCTCCCAAGTCCCAACCCCCAGCTTTATCTCTCTCCCCATTCATGTCTGGGTGCGTGTGTGCACAAGAGAATGAGAGGTTTAAGATAGAGTCTATCATGATGATAAAAAATACAGTACAGCATCCTGTATTTGAAGAAATAAATAATGATGCCTAGAAATAAAAAATCCACATCCTGTATTTGAAGAAAAAAATAATGATGCCTAGAAATAAAAAATCCACTTCGAATACAACATTCTAATAACGGATTAAACCCATAGCTTCCTAGATGATTTAGATTTAATAACAATACGACCAAGAAACTGTGTGATTGTGAGAGAGAAAAAATAAATAAATAAGTTGAAAAAACAGAATGCAAAATTATGTAGACCCCCAAAAGTCAACTTCAAATTTCCAAGAAAGGTAAAAAAAAAAACAAGTTCTTGCTTCACGCCTTTGAATTTCAAAATTGAAGCAGCACGGTGATCCTCTCTTATCTCTCTCAAAAATCCCCAAATTACATAAGAAACGATTTCCACGACAAATTGATATATAGATCAAGCAATTAGAACCGCCAATCGATCGATCAATCAACAAGGAACTGATCGGACCCAACGAATCCACGACTCATAAATCTATCCTAAATGCAATCAACAAATATTCATAAAAAAAAATACCGGTTGAAATTCAAAGGGGCTACCTATATCGAACCCCAGATCTGCGGAGATCTCGTCGCCCACCGTCTGTAAGACCAACTACTTCGACTTTTTGCGATCGGGAAAAAGGGGAGGAAGGGAAAGGGGAAGAACTTGCAGAGAGAGAGAGAGAGAGGAGAGTCTTGAGAGGGTTGGGCTTAGAAATTTAGGCCCCTTTGATGGAAAGCACTTGAATGTTATCGGCAGGTTCTGTTTTCTTGGGGGGTCTTGTGTCGGTATTGCTGTGGTCCTTTGGTCTTAAGGCGGCTTACGACCCCAACAACAACAACATCAACAAAAGTATGACCGACTCATAAATCATGTCTAACTATTTTGGGTTACTCGTAAATTAAACTTTCAAAGATTCTACAAATTTTAATATGTACTCTTAAACGAATAAATTTATATTAATATATACTTGTTAAGCTAACAGCCGTCTAATTTATCGGTTAAAATTAAATAGATAAATTATTCAATATTGTCTATATTCATGTTTGATATGCGCAGGATATATGACTATTATGATAATATATCTATATAATAAAACAGGAGTGTATTTANAGCTTCCTAGATGATTTAGATTTAATAACAATACGACCAAGAAACTGTGTGATTGTGAGAGAGAAAAAATAAATAAATAAGTTGAAAAAACAGAATGCAAAATTATGTAGACCCCCAAAAGTCAACTTCAAATTTCCAAGAAAGGTAAAAAAAAAAACAAGTTCTTGCTTCACGCCTTTGAATTTCAAAATTGAAGCAGCACGGTGATCCTCTCTTATCTCTCTCAAAAATCCCCAAATTACATAAGAAACGATTTCCACGACAAATTGATATATAGATCAAGCAGTTAGAACCGCCAATCGATCGATCGATCAATCAACAAGGAACTGATCGGACCCAACGAATCCACGACACATAAATCTATCCTCAATGCAATCAACAAATATTCATAAAAAAAAATACCGGTTGAAATTCAAAGGGGCTACCTATATCGAACCCCAGATCTGCGGAGATCTCGTCGCCCACCGTCTGTAAGACCAACTACTTCGACTTTTTGCGATCGGGAAAAAGGGGAGGAAGGGAAAGGGGAAGAACTTGCAGAGAGAGAGAGAGAGAGGAGAGTCTTGAGAGGGTTGGGCTTAGAAATTTAGGCCCCTTTGATGGAGAGCACTTGAATGTTATCGGCAGGTTCTGTTTTCTTGGGGGGTCTTGTGTCGGTATTGCTGTGGTCCTTTGGTCTTAAGGCGGCTTACGACCCCAACAACAACAACATCAACAAAAGTATGACCGACTCATAAATCATGTCTAACTATTTTGGGTTACTCGTAAATTAAACTTTCAAAGATTCTACAAATTTTAATATGTACTCTTAAACGAATAAATTTATATTAATATATACTTGTTAAGCTAACAGCCGTCTAATTTATCGGTTAAAATTAAATAGATAAATTATTCAATATTGTCTATATTCATGTTTGATATGCGCAGGATATATGACTATTATGATAATATATCTATATAATAAAACAGGAGTGTATTTAAATTTTGTCTTAATCATATTTTCTCCCTCAAAAACATCATCAATCACTTACATCATCTATCATCATTTTGTCAGACTCAAACGTCAAATCGCATCACTTATTTCTATCATATGTTTAATCATTTATATATTTCTTCCCTAAAACATCACATCTCTCATTTTTATCATATATTTAATCATTTAATATATGATTAATTTGTAGTTAATATATTTTGAAAAAAATTAATATAATAGGATCGATTTTTTAGTCGTTCGAATTTTATATTTTATTGTGCATTCAGGCACGGGTTATGATTAGTATTAAAATATTATATCAATTTTTATATACAAAAATTATTCAAGTGCAACGCGCGTAGTACATTGCTAGTTTATATAATAAGATAGCTCGCAACTTTATTTTATCTCTTACATATTTTCCCTCCTAAAAACATCACATTATTCATTTCTATTACATGTCCAATTATTTTAATATTTGATTAATTTATAGTTGAATCTAATTTTTATTTCAAATATTATCCATACGCAATAGTATAAGTATGTTGAGAAATTTTATCGAATTTCATATTTTAAAATATTATCTATATAATAAGATAGATCACAATTTGAATTTTATCCCTTACATGTATTCTCCCTTAAAAATATCACATCACTCATTTCTATCAANGGCGGCTTACGACCCCAACAACAACAACATCAACAAAGGTATGACCGACTCATAAATCATGTCTAACTATTTTGGGTTACTCGTAAATTAAACTTTCAAAGATTCTACAAATTTTAATATGTACTCTTAAACGTATAAATTTATATTAATATACACTTGTTAAGCTCACAACCATCCAATTTATCAGCTAAAATTAAATAGATAAATTATACTTAAACCACTTCACGTTTGTTACTTAATCACCTAGGACCTGTTTGGTATACTTTTTGGAAGTGGTTTGAATTAGTTTGTTCAAACTCGGGTTTTACCCAAAGATAAGATTCAACATTCAATATTGTTTATATTCATGTTTGATATGTGCAGGATATATGACTATTATGATAATATATCTATATCTATATAATAAAACAGGAGTGTGTTTGAATTTTGTCTTAATCATATTTTCTCCCTCAAAAACATCATCAATCACTTACATCATCTATCATCATTTTGTCAGACTCAAACGTCAAATCGCATCACTTATTTCTATCATATGTTTAATCATTTATATATTTCTTCCCTAAAACATCACATCTCTCATTTTTATCATATATTTAATCATTTAATATATGATTAATTTGTAGTTAATATATTTTGAAAAAAATTAATATAATAGGATCGATTTTTTAGTCGTTCGAATTTTATATTTTATTGTGCATTCAGGCACGGGTTATGATTAGTATTAAAATATTATATCAATTTTTATATACAAAAATTATTCAAGTGCAACGCGCGTAGTACATTGCTAGTTTATATAATAAGATAGCTCGCAACTTTATTTTATCTCTTACATATTTTCCCTCCTAAAAACATCACATTATTCATTTCTATTACATGTCCAATTATTTTAATATTTGATTAATTTATAGTTGAATCTAATTTTTATTTCAAATATTATCCATACGCAATAGTATAAGTATGTTGAGAAATTTTATCGAATTTCATATTTTAAAATATTATCTATATAATAAGATAGATCACAATTTGAATTTTATCCCTTACATGTATTCTCCCTTAAAAATATCACATCACTCATTTCTATCAAATATCCAATTATTTTAATATTTGATTAATTTGTAGTTGAATATAATTTTTATTTCAAAACATTATCCATACACAATAATATACATATATTGAAAATTTTTATTGAATTACATATTTTGAAAAATTATTATTTAATATAGTTGGATAAATTTTTTGGACGTTCAAATTTTATGTTTTATCGTGCTTTCAGACACGGGTTATGACTTGTTTATATATAAACGACTATTGTGCCTCTTAACCAACTTATATATACGAGATATATAATTAAACCCATTAACCCACATATGAAACTCACCCCCCTTTGTGTTTCAGGAAACTCATGTATGTGGGTTTCATAACCGAGTCTGGTTTCAAACGTTAAACTAAATACATAATTGTCAAACATGGGTTTAATCCCTAAGGATCCAAAATCCCCCCAAACCCACATATCAAACATGCCCATGGGGTGGGTGTGTTTGGATAATCAGCAAGGATAGGAATGAATTAGATTTGTTGTATCTTAACTCATCCCACTCAAAGTCATTCAGGCACTTAATTATATGGATTATGTATACCATCCAACCCAAAATGCAAGGAACAATTGAATTGGGTAGACTCTACTTGACTTTTGTAGATATTTATCATTATACCCATTGATGAACTAGACATGTATAGTAGTCATCACCGCCACCGCCACATAAAAAACGCCACCACTGCCACAACAGAACCACCATTGCCACAATAGAAACGCCACCACAACAAAAACACCACCGCCACCACAACATAAACGCCACCACCACCACAATAGAAACATTCACCACAAAAACACCCACTACCACTGCCACCACAATAGAAACACTCATCACCACCTCCACAAAATGACTCAAATCTAAAAGACAGAGAGAAGAATTAGGGTTTCAAAATCATCCACCATCGTGGTGGTGCAAATGACTGTGAACGGTTGAGATTAGGGGGTGGTGCTGGTGAAGATCTCTTCTTCATTCGGTCTACTCCAGAACCCAAACCCATCCCAAGAAAAATGCTAGGCTTTGCCTTCGTCGCCTTCACAAAGCGAGAANTTAGTATTAAAATATTATATCAATTTTTATATACAAAAATTATTCAAGTGCAACGCGTGTAGTACATTGCTAGTCTATATAATAAGATGGCTCACAACTTTATTTTATCTCTTACATATTTTTCCTCCTAAAAACATCACATTATTCATTTATATTACATGTCCAATTATTTTAATATTTGATTAATTTATAGTTGAATCTAATTTTTATTTCAAATATTATCCATACACAATAGTATAAGTATGTTGAGAAATTTTATTGATTTTCGTATTTTAAAATATTATCTATATAATAAGATAGATCACAGTTTGAATTGTATCCCTTACATGTATTCTCCCTTAAAAATATCACATCACTCATTTCTATCAGANTCCCCCCCCCCCCCTCTTTCCCTTTTCTCTTTCTTTGTGAGTGACTGAGGTTATGAATCCCCTCTCTTTCGAGGTTTGTTTGTGTTGTTTAAGGGTGGATTTTCTTTTTCAATTGTGTAGACTCAAAACTCTTCTGTTTTCAAGAAGTAGGAACGGCACTCAAAACCCATTCCTCCCAAGTCCCAACCCCCAGCTTTATCTCTCTCCCCATTCATGTCTGGGTGCGTGTGTGCACAAGAGAATGAGAGGTTTAAGATAGAGTCTATCATGATGATAAAAAATACAGTACAGCATCCTGTATTTGAAGAAATAAATAATGATGCCTAGAAATAAAAAATCCACATCCTGTATTTGAAGAAAAAAATAATGATGCCTAGAAATAAAAAATCCACTTCGAATACAACATTCTAATAACGGATTAAACCCATAGCTTCCTAGA